TTGGCAACCTCATTAACCGCTGTCTGACCTCTGACAGGCAGGCATTCTGGTGGCAGTGCGGTCCAGGGTCATTAACAATGACGTGCATGGCTTCATCGGAGAGACAGCCGTTTCCTTCAAGACTCAGCTTCACACTGAGAAAGCGCGGGCTTCCGCATCTTCTTTGTTCCTGGTGGGGAAACAAGGAGAGGAGAGCTGCGGGCCCTGGGGAGGGCCCCCTCTGGGAAGCGTGAGGGAAGAGAGTCGCACGGGGGGCCCATGAGAGCGCCACCATGGTGAGGGGCAGGCTGTGTGGCCGGACTGCAGGGAGGGTCCTGAGAGCACTGGCCCAGCAGTGGTGTCGCCTGGTGAAGGTCATTGGCTTGCGCGTCAGGCAGACCTGGGGCACAAGTGTGTACCAGTGCTGCCCTTGGCTTTACCTGCCCACACCTCACTCTCCTGGTGTACACGGTAAGGCCTGGGGATCGACCCATAGGTGGATGCTTCCCCCAAGAACCTGACATGGTCAGATGGGTCACCCTCTTTCCCATCTTGGGTCAAATATGGTTTGCTTATGGACTAAAGGAGGATTTTCTTCTTTTAATCCTTGGGAGTTAGATTTCATCAGTTAGCTACTTTAATGCAAGTACTCAGGATATAAGTCCTTTCAGTTAATTGGACCCCATTCTTCTCAGTTATCTCCTAAGGTTCCCGTCCCTTCTCTCAGCTCGCACCCAAAACTGCTCTGCTCCCCACCTAGTGTTAGTTGCTCAGTTGTGTCTGAATCTTTGTGACCCCATGGAGTAGCCCACCTGGCCCTTCTGCCCATGGAATTCTCCAGGCCAGAATATTGGAGTGGGTTGCCATTCCCTTCTCCATGGGATCTTTCCCAGCTAGGGATCAAACCCTGGTCTCTTACATTGACAGGCAGATTCTTTACCACTGAGCCGCCAGGGAAGCCCCCCAAATGTTAGTTGCTTCCATTAGTCATGTCCCCCACTAATCCCTAGGTAAAATAAGGATGATCCATTAGACTTGAATTAAAAAAATATTTAGCGTATGTCCCAGGAAATATTTGGCGTATACAAAAAAAAAAAAAGGTTCATTATTTATCTGGAATTTTATATTCGCTGGGTGAAAATAAAAATTTTATTTGATTTTTATTTCTATTTGCTCAATCTGACCATGGTGGGTGTGGGGGAGGCTCCAGGGCACCCTAGTTGGGAGTTGGTGCTGTCAACGATCACAAAAATTTCTTTATTGGACAGCCCTTCTGTGCTGGGCACTGTGCTGAGCCCTTAATATCCACCTTCCTGTCTTTAATCTTCACAGTCACTTCGCAGATTTGGAAGCAGAGGAAGGGAAGACAGGGGAGACCTGCCCACTAGCCGTGCATCACTGAAGCCCACACCCTGTGCCTCCGGAACCGAGACTCAGGGCTCTGACCCCCCGCCCATCCCACTCTGCACCTCCACCAACAGCTGCGCCTAGACTTCTTCCTCCAGCTGCCTGAACCTGACTTAGATCCCTGCTATTTTCAATCCACTGCCTGTGCCACATGTAAAGTCTTCGGTTTCCATCTAAATTAGTTCCTGGGGACACCCTGCACCTTCCCTGGCTTATATATGCCTTGATTTGGCTCGCGAAATGAGAGACGTCACCCTAAATGTCCCCCTCTCATTCTCCAGCAAGTCTGGTGGAGCCTCTCTGCCCTTGGCTGTGGACCCAGCCTCGTTCTCCATGAAATGTTATTTCCAGTAGACCGAGCGACTTAGCAGCCGTCATATGGTACAAATCAGGCAGGAACCTCTGAGCAGCCTCTCCTCATCCCACTGTGTTTCACGGGCCACGGTTCACAGTGATGCTCCAAGGCATGCAGTTTGACGCTGCCTGTACCTCCCTCGAGAACAAACAGCTCAGTCTGATCCAAGAGGTTGGCCCTTATTTTGTTCCTTCTTTTATGTGGTCGGCTTTGTGGGAATGGGTGGGTTTGCCAGCTGGAGTCACGCTCCAAAACCAGGCTTTTGGAACTGGAACTTTTAACACAAGTTAGAACGTTCTGTGTTTGCCCTGGTCTGAAATTCGGTGCCAGTTTGAAAAGACAAGCCATTATGGAGCGAGCTGGAGGGTGGCTGATGTCATTGGATAAAGCCAAGGACACCATCTTGCAGCTACTTGGGGACAGTGATCCTGGGAGAGATATTGCAGTTCATCCAACAAGCTTCATTACCACCAAAAATGCCCTCATTTTCTCGTTTAAGGAACATTTTCTGAGCACTTACTGTGCCTGGTGTTAGCACCAGGCATACAGTGAGAAAATTGGGACATGTTCACTGTGTTAAGGGTTCCACCATATCCGAAGTGAGGCGAAGGGATCAGAAATATAAACAAACAGGCAAACCCACCAGATAGCAGCCACCATGCAGAGACCCCTGAAGACGTGCAAGGGGGTCCCACATTCTGTGGCTCCAGGCAGTGAACCAGGATTGATTTAAACCCATCAGAGCCACCCCATTACCCTTTTGCCAGGCTCTTATTTCTCAGCCTCTGTTGCATCTAGGGTCGCCCTGCACCTCTACAAATGAGACTTAGATTGAAATGTGGCAGGGAGTCGCTGAAAACTATTTCACCTCCCTGATAAAAAGCCCATATTCACTGGCTTCCCCTTCTGCTTTCTTCTTGTATTAAAAATGTTGATGTGATGCTTTGAGCTCCAGCAGCCATCTTGAGATCATGAGACCACCAACCTGGGGATGAAAAGCCTAGGTGTCTGGAATGCCAGAAGGGGTGGCAAGGACAGCTTCAGTCCCTGACAGAGTCACTGAGACAGGGCCCTCCACCAAGCAGTGCCCCTTCCTCACTCCTCGACCTGCAAGAAAAAAATAAACTTCTGTTTATTTAAGCAACTGTTGGCTGGCATTTGCGTTACTTGCAGCCCAAACCATTTCGAATAGATGCAGAACTCAGTGATTTTTATCTGGAAGGTTTTAGATAATCTAGACAGAAGAATTTTTAAAATGCACAGAGTCCCTTTGTCCTCAAAGATTCTCAGTCTGTCAGGGACACGTAGCGTGTCCTGATTTGTCCTGCCAGATGGAGGGGCCACTCCTTGCCAGCTGGGGGCCATGTTGCAAAGGCTGAGCTTAAGAGCTGTGGCCCCTGGGAAGAGGGGAAGTGAAATCAGACTGCTTGGTCCTGTTCAGTTTCCCTGAGACTCCTGCAGAAACTCTGTCATTTTCAGTCCAGCTGAGCTGTGAAAACACAGAACGTATAGAAGTGCTGATCAAGCCCTGGTGCCCTGACATCACCTAGGGCTCTTCTCCAGATTCAAGTTCAGACCCAATGGGTCCAGAGTCTGCATTTACGGCTCCCAAGTGGTGCCGATGATGCTGGCCTGGGGACGTAGAGAGTGGTCAGCTGCATCTAAAACTGTCCCACTGGTGGCCAGGTCCTTTCTCCTCCTCATGGAATCATCTGTGTGGGTGCTCTGTTCCTCCAAGCATTTGGTTAAAACTTAGCCCCTGTCTCAAGTCCAGTTAATTACTCCCTTCTGTAGTCTATTAGGACCTCTCACTGCTGGGCTCTAGATCAGTGTCCCGGAGTTTGGATAGACCTACAATGACCAAGTGTCCCGGCTTGCCCAGGAGAGAGGGGCTTCCCAGGACGTGGGAATTTCAGTCCTAGCAAACTGGGACCAGTTGGTGGCCCTGTCCAGACTGAAGCCTGAGCATTTAAACCCAGGAGGATAGCTTGGAAGAGGCCATGGCCCCAAACCGAGGACATACCTAATGAGTGTCAGTCAGGGGTGAGTACAGGCCAGGTGAGCAACAGAACTGTCAGAGCGCTCCAATCAATAAAGTGCAACACATCCGCTTTCGGGAATTTCCTCAAGACCTGGTGGCTCAGACAGTAATGAATCTGCCTGCAATGTGAGAGACCCAGGTTTGATCCCTGGGTTGGCAAGACCCCGTGGAGAAGGGAATGGCGACCCACTCCAGTATTCTTGCCTGGAGAATTAAGTGAACAGAGGCTTGAACAGTTAGGAGACAAAATAAATCGTCCTCCAACCCCTGTGGGCTTGGCTGCCATGTGGGACTGGTGAGGATGACCCTGTCAGAGCCCCAAGGAGCCCTGAAGACTGACGTGGGATCAGAATGAGATTATGGGATTTCTGCTCCTCCTGAGTTTGCAGGGGCCTCCCCACCTTCCACAGCCCTGGGCGGTTAACGTCTCAGCTCCTTAACAGAAAGAAATATGTACTCATTCCCTGCTGAATGCCCTTAATTTGTCTCATTTGTGCCTAAAGCACAAGGTGTCTAAACAAAAAGGCTATTACCATAATGCACAGCTCTCGGCAAAGCTCTTCTAAAAGTGCGTTTTTTCCCCATAACCAGACAGAGTGGACGGAGATGTGATCAATATATTAGCAAACAATCTGAGCATAACAGGAATTCCACGCTTGCTTATATGCAAGAACGTTTCATGTTGGCGCACACGCGCACACACACACACGTATCTCAACATCTCCCTCAGTTCACACTCAGGTTAGGAGCCACACTCATCCACACCTGATGTTAAGACTTTCTACCTTGTTTCAGGCCGCTATTTTTCCTCCACATCCACCATAATCACAGGTAAACTTCAGGTCTTCATGAGGAAATATCATATTCACTGTAGTGTTCAGGTATTTTCTATCTGTTTAACATGCATAAAACTGAACTAGTTTTTATCTTTTTAAAAAATGTGTTACTGATGATGCTTTGAGAGTTTTGTGTTCTTAACTTGATTTTCCCTATAAGTCCTGTGGTCTTTATTGTGTGATTCTGCACAGCATGGTGATCTTAGGTGAAGCGCCTTATGGCAAAACTGCCTGCTGTGGGTTGGGTTGATCACGCAGCCTCCTGGGAGCCTTAGTTTCTGTACCTGTCACATGGGGGTAAGTCATGACCATCTCACAGGGGATAATAAGAAGAGTCCTGGACTTGAAGTCTCAGTGGCCAGGTCACAGACCAGGCTTCAAGATGCATGGGGCTTCCTCAAGGACTTGGGTTCCCGTGAGACCCTCCAAGCATCAGCTTCATGGGCTGTTGAAGAGGGACCACCTCCTCAGCCCCATCCACCTCACAGAACGGCTGAGCGGCTTGGAGAATGGCCACTGGGTGTCCACAGGCTTTGTCAACTTGATGGTCAGCGTCATCCAGTTAATTCAAAATTCGGAAGAAAAAGCCAGAAAGGTATGAAGGAAAAAATGAAAAGTTTCACAAAGTCTAACCATCATTCATCTCAGTAGGTTCAATTCCAGGTCCTTGTTTGTGACATGTCCTTGCTGGGTGACATTGTGCTGTGTATGTGTACATATGTATTATATAATAATATATATATTATAATATATATATTATATTATATATATTGTATATATATAATATTATACAATATGTACAATATACAATATACAATATAAATATACACAATATATACAATATAATGTATATATAATAATATATTAATATATAACTCTCTCTATATATAGTTTTTATTCAGTGTTTTATCATGAGGATGCCATTTCCCCTTTATTAGGATTGCTTTGTAAACATCAATTTTAAAAGTTGCATAAACATTTCATCATAAGAACATTCTATAATTTAGCCATTTTGCAAGTTGATCATTTAATTTTTTTTTAAGTCAAATAATGCCATGATTAATGTCTGTTTATATTAACCTGTTTGCATCTCCTGATTGTTTTCTTGGGCCAGATTCCCAAAAGCAGAATTCCTGAATAAAGTAGATGATTGCTTTTAGTACATTTTTACACAAACACATACATCAACAATTTGCTTTTTGTGAAAGTGCTTCTGACAGAATTTGAGGGAGCCCATGGTGACACCATCCCCAGCATTATTATTACTTTTAAAAAGTTTTATTGCAGTGTAGTTGATTTACAATGTTGTATTTACTTTTTAAAATCTTCGTTCAATTAACTTTTTAGATGGTCTCTCATTGTTTCAGTTACATGGATTAATTCTAAAAATATTTCTTCATGGATTTTTTAATATGAAAGAACACTTCGTTGGTTAAAAAGTTAGTGATTTCTACATCGCCTCTTCTATCAAAATGCTTTTCAAAGAAACACCTAAAAAGTGAAATTTTAAAACCTGATAGAGCCATAATTTCCATCATCATGCTGGCTGGGATGGAATAGTCTTAGCAGGAGACACAGGCAAAACAGATGCTAAGATTAACTTGCCCCCAGAGGAAGCAGTCCAAGGGCCAGATGAAGGCTCCTGGTGGCAGATTTAGCATCTAAACTGCAACTTCGTGGTCATCAAAAGGCTGCAGACTTTCTCTGTTTACTACATACTGACAAACACGTTTGTGCTTTTATGGTGACAGCGATATTTGTGTCTGCAGGCAGATGGCCGTGTTCACGGTCATTTAGCTCTGCAGACTGTCCAGCGTGGGGCTGGCCTGCTTCCTCCTCCAGTGTTAGCTGCCTGGCTAACTGAGTTTGGCTCATCGGGCCATGATGGATTGAGCTTGCATCATTGCCTGTGGGTGAGGTTGGGTGGGGAGACCAGTCCTTAGGAGGGTGGCAGACTGAGGAAATCCTAACAGTACCCAGCAGGACCCTGGGAGGCAGGCCATCTTTCCCTAGGGCACACCTTTTCCAGGGACCCTGAGACTTTTAAGCGTTCATGAAGATGCTCAAGACTCTTTTAGAATCAGAAAATAATTGGCTGAAAGTGAAAGACAGCAAGGCATGTCGGGATCTCAGTGTGGCTTCCTGTGTTCTCCCTGGCATCTTTCCTTCAGCAACTAACTTCATTGACTCTCTCATTCCTAACCAGCTACATTGCTCCGATGAATCCCTGGGTCACCTGCCCTATCTGCTCACCTGACCCTCCCCGCACCCCCACCCCATCTGCTTTCCACCCCCTGCAGAGGCACTGCTGGTGAATTTCAACATGGCCCTCCAAGTAGCCACATCCCGTGCATGGTCTCCGCTTCTCAGTTTTTTAAAAAATACTTGTTTATTTATTTATTTATTTTTGGCTGTGCTGAATCTTCGTTGGCTGCACGGGCTTTTCTCTAGTTGTGGCGAGCGACGTATACGCTCTGGTTGAGGTGCACTCACTTCTCATTGCAGTGGCTTCTCTTGGGGAGCACGGGCTCTAGGGTGCTTGGACTCAGTAGTTGCAGCTCCCGGGCTCTAGAGCACAGGTTCAATAGCTGTGGCACACGGGCATTGTTGCTCTGGGGCATGTGGGATCTTCCTTGACCAGGGATTAAACCTATGTCCCTTGCATTGCAAGGCAGATTCTTTACCATGGAGGCACCTGGGAAGCCCCTCTGATTCTCCTTTTATCTAATTCTCAGAGGCTTGAGGCACTCACTAAGTATCTGCCATGTGATCTTCTAATCAACAGCTTAACTGGAACTTTAACTTTTCCACTGAGATGCACTAAAGGCGAAAGCCGGGGCTTGAATCCCCAGTGCATGGCGACAAGGTTGAAATTTACTTAGAGCTTGTGTTTTATCTTGAAAACTCTTCTCAAGTTTGGCATTTTTCTCCAGTGGATATCTGTATCTTCTTAAAAGAAAAAGAAGTGCCTCCTGGCAACTTTCTGTGCAAAACTGATGCTCTAGGAGGAGGATATGCTGTATTTTCCCGGAGTTTTGCCTGTTGCCTGGTACCTGGGGCCAGGACTGGGGTGAGGCTGGCAAGGATCCCAGGGCTCAAAAATGTCAGGAGGCCCCTATCTCAGTGCCAATTCTGGGCTTGCATGACTCCGAAGATGACAACTCCTTATACTGTGCACCTGTGTCTTTCTCAGCCTCCTCCCAGCCCTGCCTTGTGCCCCACAGTGAACCCCACTTTGAGAGGTGGAAGAAGACTGTCCAAAGTACAGGGAAGAGGTGGTGCTTGACGACTGTCCTCCTTTTACACCACCAATTGGCCCCAGTAACCAAGTGTATCAAAGCAGCTGAGGATCTTACAGAGCCTCTTCAAAGATCTTCTGTGGGACTCACATAGAGACAGTTTGATCATTCAGGATGTCAGCACCCTTTCATGCATTTATTCACTTGCAGGATATTATTACTAAAGACTGGCCAGAGGCCAAGGTGGACACTGGAGACACAGCAGTGCCCAAACGGATGCGGTTCCTCTCAGGGTCTGGTGTTTCAGTGGCTTTGGTGTTTGTATCAACAAAGCCAGACTGGAAAGTAGAAAACTATGTCTGTGTTTGGGTGAAATCAGGGCATTCCTGGGCATGCCTAGGTCCCCAGTTCAACATTTCTAAAGGTAATTGGTTCTTGGGGACACTCGCCCCAAGAGCAAAAGGGGTGCTGCGTCCAATATGCTTAGAAAATGCTGGATAAGCTGGGACCCCAGAGAGTTTCACGACCTACACATATAAATTAGATGCTGGCCAGTCCTGTGGGTCAGCTCTGTTTGGGGTTTCCATGTTTGACCTTTTCTTGCAACATCTGTTAACATCTGGCCAAACAGGTTCTGCCAGGCCCACTTTCAGAAATGCTAGTCTGTAGTTTTTCCCATGAGTTCGCTGGGCTCAGCACCTTCCTCATTTGTCCTCATTTGGGGGCTTCCCTAGTAGCTCAGCTGGTAAAGAATCTGCCTGCAATGCAGGAGACTCTGGTTTGATTCCTGGGTTGGGAATATCCGCTGGAGAAGGGACTGGCTACTCTCTCCAGTGTTCTGGCCTGGAGAATTCCGTAAGAGTTGGATGTGACTTTCACATTCTTTCACTTTTCTTTCCTTTCTCCTGGTGAGGACGACTGAAGCCACACGTATGCAGCTTAACTGTGTTTTGGGGATTGTGTGCTTGTGGCCAGAGGCTGCTGGGACCGAACCTACTCACAGGGGCTGTCACTGGGAGCTTAGGGACGATTTAGGGGTAAGGAAGATTTTTCGACTTCAGAGAGCTTTGGCAGGGCCCTAAAATGGCAATAATCAGTCAGAAGCTTGAAAAACAACAAAGACAAAACAGGATGAGGTGGTTTGGGGAGGTTAGTTATTTAGTGTTAGTTGCTTAGTTTTGTCTGACTCCGTGACCCCCAGGACTGTAGCTTGCAAGGTTCCTCTGTCCAGGCAAGAACACTGGCGTGGGTTGCCATTTCCTCCTCCAGGGGATCTTCTCACCCAAGGGATTGAACCCATGTCACCTGCATTGGCAGGCAGACTTTTAACCATCTGAGCCACCAAGGAAGCCCATATAATTGCATTATTTAGGAAACCAGTATCGCATGTCACAAACAGATGGGATCCTAAAAATATGTACAAAGAGGATCCAGCCTAAGTTCTTCGTGTGTCCAGCTGGAGACAGTTGTCTGCAGGCTCTGAGCACAAGGCTCCCTTTTCTATGGTTGCTGCTATCGGAGTGTGAGAATGAGTTGAGGACACGCCAGTGCCCAGGGAGAATTCCTCCTTGAAGGAGGGAGGGCCTGATGCTTCTGGCATCTGTTGAGTAGAAACCAGAGGTACCCATTTAACATCCTGTGATGCATAGTACAGTCCTCACCATGGAGAGCCATCTGGCCCAAACACCAGCAGAGCTCAGATGGAGAAAACTTGACCTAGAGCATAAGGTCCCTGATGGCTGGTGTTAAGCGTGGCTTTCTTACTCAGCAAGCTGATCTTCCCGCCCATCCCATTTGCAGCTTCTCGGTGAGGGGGGCGGCTCTGACGGGGGCACATACATCACAGGGGGGGAGACCATGCCTGCTCTTCTCAGGAGGATAAGGGAGCTGTACCCCGCACTGGGAAATCTGAGAAGGGAAAGCACAGTCACCCCCAGCTCTGCAATCTCAAGCAAATTATTCAAACTTTCTGAGTCTCAGTTTCCTCAACTGTAGAAAGGGGGTGTCATCGTACTTATGACTAGTGTCCCTGTGATTGTTCAGTGAAAGTACAAACACACGTCCCCGGCCCAGTTCAGTGCTCAGCCCGACCACTGCCGGATACTTTCACACTCTTATCATGATGCGTCATCAGAAAAGGTAAAGACATTTTCCACTACAATTTTACATAATTAATGCCCACATATCTTCAGTGAGTTTGTACATTACATGTGCACACATGCACCTGCCAAGAAGGCTATAAATATTCTAAACCCTGTCCCCAGGTCCCTCCAGGACTGTGGATGAAGATCTGATTTCCCCTCTGGCTTCCTTCTTCCCCACAGGACCCTCAAATGTCCCTGGAGGATAGTGCCCTTGTGCGTGAGGGATCCCATCTCTCCTCTCAGGCCTGAAGACGTTTCCCAGGAGGCCTGGATGGCCCTGGAGACCATGAGCTTGGAGGAGAATTGGCTGAAAATACTGGAATAAAGACCCAGGAAGCTAGAGCCTCATATCTGAGTCCCTCCGCCCCATCCCCTGCCCCGTGTCTCCAGCCCCCAATACCCTGCAGAGCCTCCCTGCTCAAGGAAGGCCTAGTTGGATGCTTGTCCCAGCAGGTCAGGGGGCCTTCACTTGGGCTGTTCAAAGGGGGATGTCTCCTGGGGTGGGAGCCCACCTCCCTAGCTCTGAGGTAGAGGAGTGGCATTTGGACTTGAGTTGCAGGGAGTCATTCCACGGCTGTGGGTTTAAGTCTCCAAGAGTTCTGTTTGAGAGATGACATCCCTACCTATGAAATGAGGATAAGCCTCCCCACCTCCAGGACTCAGTTGGACAGGGTATTCAGACACCACCTGAAGCCTGGGACACAGGGAAGCTACAAGAAATGGCAGCTACTTGGGGCTTCCCTGGTAGTCCAGTGGTTAAGACTCCAGGCTTCCCCTGAAGGGGGTGCAGGGTTCAATCCCTGGTGGGGGAAATGAGATCCCACATGCCTGGCAGCCAACAAAACAAAACAGAAATAATATTGTAACAAATTCAATAGAGAACATAAAAATGTCCACATTTAAAAAAAAAAAAGGCAGCTACTGTGTATATTTTTAGATCATGTGGAGCTTGACCCACTAGAAATAGATGTGCCCAGTCCAGAGCAGTTAATAAATAGAAAGGCAAGGAGAAATTTGAACTGGACTGTTTCTAAAAAGTAAGTATTCAGGGAGCGACTGGACTCTCTGCTGCCAGGTGGTGATAAGTGTTGTGGAGGAAAATGAAGGAGGGGCAGATGGCCTGGGGGTGGTGTGTGTGTGTGTGTGTGTGTGTGTGTGTGTGCAATTTAAATGTAAAGTGGTTAGTTTCAAAGAGAAGGCAGTATTTGTGTAAAGATCTGAAGTAAGGGAGTGACACGTTGGAATGGCATGAGACTATTTCAAGTGCAGGAAACTGCCAGTGCAAAGGCCCTGAGGCAGGAATGGAGTTGGCCATCTGAGATGTGGCAATAAGGCAGATGGGCCAGAGCAGAGTGGATTGCAGAAATGTGCAAGGAGGCAGGGTCAGCTGACATGGGACCTAGGCCACGGTCAAGACTTCATGAGATGCGATACTTGGGAGACTCAGGAGCATAGAAGCGACAGGACTTTGCTTGCAATTAATCTCTAGCCCCTGAGAGGACAGACTAGAGCCCAGGGCACCCAGACAGGAGAGGGCTGCAATACACGGGTTGAGTAGTGTGGGCTGAACAGGGCAGGATCTTCTTAAAGAATCTATTCGTTGACAAATTCAGAGCCACATAAATGTGGAAGAAAGGGTGGGAAGTCAGGACAACTCTTGCTTTCTGTCCCTGAGTTGGGGCTCCCATGCTTCCTGGCCTGGCCCCGGGGGAATGCCCCACTCTGCCACTGCGGCTGGGGTCCGTGGGGGTGGATGGGGGAGGATAGAGCTGGTTGGATGTGCCCAGGAATGGCCGGGCTGCAGAAGTTCCAGGAGTTCCAGCTGGCGGAACAACCCTTGAACTTGGGTAGACAGGCCCAGCAGGAGCCAGCACCCCGTGGCCTGATTCTGGCCTGCCGCGTAGGGTAAACAGAAATTCAAAGGCTTCCCAGGCCGAGCGGGCAGGTGGGGACGCGGCTGCCTCCACGTCAGCAGTCCCATGGATGTTTGATCCCAGGGAGGGAAGGTGCCCGGTGTTATTTCAGCTGAGCCCGGAGGAGCCCTCACACAGAGCGGCACAGGGGGAGGGCAGGAGAAGGGAGGTCGTGGGGTGCTCCAAGTCCCCGTGTTTGTGGACTGGGCTTCGGCCCAGAGGGAGAGGGGGCTGGGAGGGTAGTCTGGCTGCCAGAGAAGCTGAGAAGCAAGGGGCAGGGGGGTGCGCTGGTGCAAAGGGAAACCTCTTGAAGTCTGGTGGCCTCTCTGAGTGTCTTCATCTGGGAAGCAAGTGTCTGGGGAGCCCAGATTGGCGATTATTTGTAAATAATCTGGAATGGTGCAGAAAGAAAGGATGAAAGAGGGAGATAAAAGCAGACAGAGAGGACCGGTCAGTGCGGCAGGGACAAGTGTGGCATCTCATGGGCCCCTGTGTCACTCAGCCCACCCAGGGTCACCGAGCACCGACTCAGAGGCCAACCTGAAATAGACTCTGGGGTCCTGTCCAGGTTCCTGATGCTCATCCCACAGCCTGGAATATTCTGTCTGTAGAATTCTCCAGGCAAGAATACTGGAGTTGGTAGCTGTTCCCTTCTCCAGGGGATCTTCCCAACCCAGGGATCGAACCCAAGTCTCCTGCATTGCAGGTGGATTCTTTACCATCTGAGCCACCAGGGAAGCCCAGAATAGTCTCTCAGGAAAACTAAATATGTATGTGTCTACCTGTGTGTGTGTGCAGATGTGTGTATGTGTGTGGGCACGTGTGTGTATATGCGTGTGTGTATGTATGTGCACACGTGTGTTTGGACATGTATGTGTGCATGTGTTTCTCCATAAAGTTAGTCAAGGGCAAGCTGAGGGAGACACTCGGTATTGTCTTCCCTCCGCCCACCCAGGCTCAGCCCTGAGGGCCGCAGGGTGAATGAGGGAACCAGGGAGCTTCGAATGGGTCCAGACTTCTGGCTGGTCATCAGCATGGAGAACAGACACAGATGTCAAATGTCTACAGCAAATGTGAGACTATTTAGGTACAATTTAGCAGAAACGAGTCATCCTGCAGACATAAACATTTTAATCGGAGTGACAATTTATTCAAACAATTTGACAATGCTCACACATGCTGAACAGATGGGCTGGGGCCGGGGCCCAGCAAGTGCGCTGCTGGGGGAGGGAACCCCAGCCGAGGCTGGCTGGCCTGCAGGAAGGGCAGAGTGGACGATAAGCTCCCACCTGACAGCAGAGAGGCTCCTGGGACGACCCCAGGTCCCCTTTCCCAGGGGAACCTGCCTGCACTTTCAGGCTCCTCTGATGTCCCAATGATGCTGATGATGTAGGAAGAATTCTTGATGGAAGAAGGCCATTCACTTATTCATTCATCTGATTTGGAGAATTTGCCGAGTATAATTACGGGCCAGGCACTGTGCTGGATGCTGTTGTGCGTGTGTTGCTGTCATTTAATGGCTAAGTTGTGTCTGACTCTTTGTGACCCCAGGGACTGTAGCTGGCCAGGCTCCTCTGTCCATGGGCTTTCCCAGGAAAGAATACTGGAGTGGGTTGCCATTTCCTCCTCCCAGGGATTTTTCTGACCCAGGGATCGAACTCACACCTCCTGCATTGGCAGGCAGATTCTTTACCTCTGTGCCACCAGGGAAGCCCCACCCACCTACTCAGGTGAGGGCAAATGCTACCCTCCACACACACATCCAGAAATAAAGTTTTATCAGCTATAGAAGCCCAGTCACATGAAATTAACCATCACAGAGACCAACTCGCTTAACACCATGGCATAAAATCCTCCCTCCCCACCTCAAACTCGTGGAGGGAAAAGGCAGTACCATCAAGTCGGATGCAGCTCATTTCAGCCTCTATTTTCTTTCCCTTGATGAAACATTCATTGGGAAAAAGCTGTGAGTGACTGTGTGACCCCCACGGCATGTAGGGCAAATGTCCTGTGATAAACAAGCTGGTCGTCTCCTCCGAGTAGCGGGGGTGGGGGGAGCCGCATCACCTCTTCCCATGTCGGGTTTTCTGAGTCTAGACACTTCCCAATTTATCTCTAAATATAATCACCAGTTACCCATGTCCCCCTCCCAAGCAAGTGGAATGGTTTTGCAATTTAATTTAATCACCCACTGAGTTTCCAAAATTAATTTCCTGTTAGAAATAAATATTGTACTATGAATTATAAATCAGACCAGGCGGTAATTTACAGAGAACCAGTAAATTAAAATTTTGACTGTTGTTTTCTGTAGCAGACAAAAGTGGAAGCACTTAGAGGGTGCCCAGGGTGGAAAGTCCATAGCTCCTTGGGGGAGGTTGGGCAGAGCTATTTCATGTCATTCTGCTCAAGCAGCTCTTGGAGTGTGTCCACTGCGTGCTGGACACTGGGTGTAAATGGTGAACAACTAAGTGCCGGTCCAGAGCCTGGGGGTCTCCTAGTTGTGGCTCAGCTGCAGAGATAAGGACTCTGGAAGACCCTCGTGTTGCCCTGGCTTTGGATCCACCCTGAGGACTGTCCTCAGGGTCTGCACTTATCAAGTTAATCTTCATGATAATCAGACACAGAAGCTTCTATCATTAGTACAGTTTCATTTTTGAGAGAAAGGAGGTACAGACAACACCAGTAACAAACACATCAGAGATAATGAGCTAGCAAGTGGCAGAGCTCAGGTGCTGGAGACCCCCAGTTCCAGAGTTCGGGTCCCCACTGTGTCACACCCAGTCCTGGTTGGCCCACCTCCCCCTCTGAGGCCAGGCCATTCCTGTCCACTCCACTTTGGTGCCATTCCACCTCCCAGCAGTTTCTCGCTCAACCCCTTTCGGCCCACTCCCCGACACACACACCACATCACTCTGGGAGAACTTCAGAAATGTGACTGTGAAGTCCCACTGTGTCGCTCCCACCCAGGACCACCCTCTGCTCTAAATGAACAAGGCAGAAGCTCTGCCCCAAGCCTCACCCAGGTGGCAGGTGTGACAAACCCATAGTAGTGGCTCCCTGTTCCAGGTAGCCAGATGCAGGCTTTTTACCAAAACGTGATGATCTTGTAGGTTGGGGATGGGAGGGGCAGGGTCCTGGGAGGAGTTGGCATTTCCACGTCAGCATGTCTCTGGTGAGCAAACCAATGGTGCAAAGTCTCAGCAAAATATTTATCGAGTGGATGCAAAATGCTCAAAACTGGGAGGCTCAGTGGGGATGGGAGAGGTGAGCCCTAGCCCCCAGGTCATTTCTGGTTCTGGGAGGAAGATATCTGCAGGTGATCCCCATGCAGGAAGGCATGTGTGTAATGGGGCTTGGAGGTCTGAGGGTCTCCAAGTGGCTTCCTGTCTCCTCCCCAGCAAGTGGCATTACCATGACCTTATCCTGTGGGGAGTGGGGACGGGAATAACAGGTGAGGTGAGGCTCCCCTGGGCCACATAGGTGGGACATAGCAGAGTGCAGGCCTTACCAGGCAACTGGCTGCAGAACCTATGGCGTGACCACCATGAGTGCTGCCTCTTCTTGCCTGATTGTCAGGCATTTGTTGAATGAACTGGTCAAGTGGGGCCACAGGTGAGAGCAGACCCTCCTCTCACCCCACCACTGGCAGGTCATCCTCTCCCTCCAGACAGGCTTTTCAATGGTGAGGCTTTCTCCTGTACTTCATGAAGGACAACTTAAACTAGTTAAGAAACAGAAGGAAATTTGCTGGCTGATTTTTTATCCTGAATTCCAGGAGTTTTGGCTTTAGGTATGGCTGGATCCAGGGACTCCAGTTCTGTCTTCAGGAATCTGTCTCTCTTTTGATTCTACTTGGCTTCTGCTCTGCCTTACAATAGGATGGCAGCCTCACTATCCCTTGTGTGTGTCTTTCCAGCTTCGCATCCTAAAGAAGGGCCCTTTAGGGAAGGGCGTTGAGTAGCCTGGCCAAGGCACCTGCTCACTGCCGGGCCCACTACTGTGACAAGAAGCACCAGTGCTGTGGCTGGCCCATGTTGTTGGATAGAGATGAGACAAGAGCATTTGGTGTCGGCCACTGCGTCCTCCAAGAAGTGTGGCAGAAGTGGCTTCTACTGCTTGAGGCATTTGGGGGGCTACTCCAAGGAGAGTCATGAGGGAGACACCTGTCTTAGGGAAGGGAGGCCTCCTAAACCAAGGGTAGGTTCCCACCACCTCTCCAGTCCTGCCTTCCTGGTCTTTAGGGATTGATGGTGGAGGCTGAGCCAGCACTGGTAGGGGAGTGGAGGGGTGTGTGTGTGTGGCTGGGTTGGGGCTCCTGGGAAAGTGAAAGCTGCTCAGTCATGTCTGACTCTTTGCGACCCCATGGACTATACAGTCCATGGAATTCTCCAGGCCAGAATACTGGAGTGGGTAACCTTTCCCTTTTCCAGGGGATCTTCCCAACCCAGGGATCGAACGCAGGTCTCCTGCATTGCAGGTGGATTCTTTACCAGCTGAGCCAGAGGGGAAGCCCAGGGGCTCCGGGGACTTGCAGTAAAAAGCTTCTCAGATGCAATGTTGGCTGGAGGGGGAGCTGTTGCCATCACCAGCCTCCTCCTGTCCTTCTTTCTCTTCCATCAGCATAACGTCCACTGAACCCATATTAGGGTTCAGTGTGCTCCAGAGCAGAGCTCATTCTGTGCATTATATCATTGCATCCCCACAGTGGATGCTCAAGGTATGTTCTACAAGCAATCCTCATTTTAACTCAGAGGGCAGAGCTGGCCCCCCCAAGTCTCTCTGACTCCATGTCCATGTTCTCTTCTTCTCTGCACACAAGACAGTCTTGCCTCACTTTCTAACGCATGCAAACCGTCCACCCGCTTGGAAGCATTTCCCGTTCCAGGGGGTCCACTGCACCCCCTAGGGTGAACGTACCAGCACAGCCCCTAACACGTGACTGGCTGTGGCTGGAACAGCTGGGCAGAACATCTGGTTTTCTTTCTTGTCCAATTTT